TAGAATAAAATGATTAAAGTATCTTTGCATAAAGAGGAGAGGCAGATGCAAATGCATATGTTGATGAGGAAGCTATAACAGATGTCCCTCTGCTCTAAGCTAGCCGGAATGCAAATCACCTGCATTTTCATGATGTCTCATTGACTAATTACTTCTAAATGCTTTTCCAAGACTCATCTTCATGGAAAAAAAACCATCTATTTTCTTCCAGTCTATGAAGCAGGCCTGCAAGGATTAGCTTAACACAGTTTTATAAGTCCACTATACTAGTAGCATGCTGCAACCCCAAACACTGACAGGGCAGATGCTTTTAGGCCAAGAGCCTAAGGAGGCCAATGTGGAGGATGTAATGATGGGACAAAGAAAGGAGGAAGAATGCAGCAACACTCCATGTAAGAAAAGCAAAAGAAAAAAAAAACTGCTTTAGAAGACAAATACACACAAGGCTCATTTATATGACTTAAACACCTCTTAACTGACAGTGCCTGACATTTCTAGTTGGCTAGAAATAAACTTCTGCTAATCAGTGATAAGGCCAGAGGAATATGAGTCATAGTAAATCAAAAGAGTCATGGACCTTGGAAAGTGCCATACAAACAGAACAAACCTGCCAAAACAAAAAAGGTTAGTAAAAAAAGACAGTCATCTATATTGTGTTTCTAGTGACTGAAAGGAAGCAACCATGTACATTCTTTGCTCTATGACAGCCATCTCAAAAGTCTTTGGTCAGATTGGAACTAATCTCAAAGGGAGGCATAGCCTTTGATGCCATTACACACAGACATTTTCAATAGCTCTTTTATCAGACTCAAAGAGGGAGAAATTGATGCCATATGGAGATGCACATGAATACATGCCTAATCACTTATTTGTGCCCAAACAATTCTTTTCTCTACAGGAACATATGAGGAATCCATTACTATGGGGATAACTATTCTGGCCGCTATCAGGTATCCCTATCACAACATGGAAAAGGAGCAGCTGGTGCTCTGATTATACCCATGATAGAAGTTTGATACACACATATGCCAGTCAAGGTCCAGATGAGGCTAGATGGTACACTGAGCTTGCTTTGGTAGCCAGGATGAACCAGCTTGAATAGTCAAAGCCAAGCTGTGGAATGATGTGCGCTGTGTACAAAGCATGCAGCCACCACCGAGTCCCCAAACCAGGTGGCCACTTATAGCTGTCCCATCTGAAAATGGCTTCTGGCACCTTTCTGAGGGGGGATGTAAACACGGGTTCCAGAAATGTTATCTGAACTGTCTCCATACACGAATGCAGCAGATTTTACACTCACATGGCCACACTGCCTGGTTTATTTTCCATGTGATCAGGAGCGTGTCAGACACCGTGCTACCACAGGGCAATCAGGTTCTTCATGTGAGTTCTATCATCTTCTCCCTAAACTTGAAGACGGAGGGTTGTAAGCAGTTAATAAGTAGGGAGAGGATGCAACAAGTAGATGTGTCTTAGGAAGCAGATCTGGAGAGGCTGTGAAACTGGGCCTGGTGAAGACTGAAACCCCATCAGAGGCATCAGTCTGTCTAATCTACAGGTTTCTTCCATGTTTGAGCTAGAAAGGGTGATGTGAGGGCATGTAGCAGTGCTCCTCTTTGGGCAGGGTAGGTTAAGAGTCAGCAGATTGGTAAAGGCACTGTCTGTGTGTCACAGGCAAGAGTTGGGATCCAAGGAGAACTGCAAAGGATTCAAAGCCAGATAGACAATTCACAGTGCCTTCAGTAAGAAAGGCAATACAAAACAACTGGAATAGCTGATCCCCAAGAGGAAAACTGAGGAAGGAAATGCTGGAAATAGCAAAAGGTTCTTGGAGCTGGTAGTCTGAGACCTGAAAATTATTTAGCTCACTGCCTTGAAGCAAAATTGCTTGAGATCAGTGCAGTTTTCTTAGTTGGCAAACCCAATTTTAAGTAGGCATTGTATAACTTTATCAGTATGGCAGGCTCTGCCACTGTGCATGAGCTGTACCCACTAGACCTAACACAGAAATGAAGAACTCCACACGACACAAGGAAATAGCCTGTCTTGTCTTGCTTTTAGACAACAAGCAGGACAGCAACCTCTCCTGCCCCTGGGCACTGCTTGAGAAAGTTCTGTCTCCCCCAGCACCGCTGATGTTGCAGTTTGGGTGAAAGAGTCATGGCTTTCACACTGAAAGTGTTAAGTGGCACTAAAATCAAGCTGACTTACTTTTAAAGAATGTCTAACATAGGTAATAAGAAAACAGTCCCACTGAATACTTGTTCACCTCACTTCAAGGACTACAGCCAACCATGAAGCTCCTTCAAGCTGGAAGAGCCCTATTCATTCCAGCAGCCATTTATGTCCTCTCAAAATCTGTTCCATGTTTAAGGTTTCCTTAAAATTCTGATAATTTCTTTATTACTGTGCAAGGATTTCATCTTTTGTTTAAAAACACACGGCCTTCATGTCAGTAGAATAAAATCTAAAGGTGCAAACACTAGCAGCTTAAACCATTTCTCAGTCATCTTCAACACTTGGCAGTAGTGACAATGACAACATCCAACAGTCAAAGGCCTGTGCAAATGAGGTGCTGGCTAAGGTTAAGTTGCCAGTCTGTACAACATGAGTGCCTTTTAAAAGGGCATAATTTAGTGGAACAGGCAAAGAAGCAGTGAATTTGTAGTTCTGCAGGCACAAAAAGAGTGTGACCTGGCTGGCTTTCTGGGTTAGGAACATCTACAAGGGAACCCTGTTTATTCCCTGCTGTGCGCTTCAAGGCTCTTCTTGCTGCTTCCTCTCGCTTGAAGAAACTCAATAGAATCAAATTCTCTATTCCTCTTCTAAATTCGTCTGGACTAGTCACATAACTCTTCCTTCAGTAAAAAAAGAAACAGGTTTTGAGGTCCTCGGCTGTCTTCTGAACAGAAAACTGAAACAAATTTGAGCTGCTGTCTCCCCCCAGTGTCAGCATATTTTCGTCTTCAAGGCTGCTACTGTGGCACATACAATGCCTGAGGGTAAAGAGATCTGCTGCAACCTACCCAGTGAAGGAAAATACAAGTGTGTTCTCCTTCCCAGATGGCCTTCGTAGCATAGATCAAATGTCCACCCAGATATACTGGAGAAGAGAAATTGGTTCAGATTTGGGAACAGGTTTGGTATCGTATTTTGGAACCTCCAGGAATATCAGCCTGCTATGAGACCCATTACAGCCTCCAGGGATTTTCTATGCCATATTGCTGCTCTGAAGCTAAGGGAAAAAACAGCCAGATTGGAACAAATTTGAAGTCTTAAATATACAAAGAGTTTTTTTCTGAGCTACCTGGAGATGCAAAGAGCTGGTGATGTAGAGGACTTCTGAGGAGACTCACAGGTGCTTTTTGCCCATGTTCAATTGAGAAACAAAAAGAAGGACTACTCGTGTTAATTGCTTTCTTGCATATGTTTAGCAAGCTATGCCCCCTCAGGCTTTAACACCAGTCTTCATTTCTTTCTGGGCTTCTAAATGAAGCCCAGTTGCTTTGATGCTGTATGACTTGCTTTAAAGGGAGATCATGTCCCTTTGATTCTGCTTACAGAGGAGCTGTACTGAAAGGGAGAATCCCTCACTTCCAATTAATAACACATTCTAACTATTGGTCTAGAAAAATCTACTATTGGCTGAGACTCTAAAAAAATCAAAAGTGAGGTCAATACTTAAAGGCAATCCCAGACTGCACAGAGTCAACACATTACTTACTTCTGATGCTGGTAGACACCGCGCAGGCCTGACAATTTCCTGGTACAGTTTGGGTATGTGGCTTAGCTAAACTTCTTGGTGTGTTTCCCTCAATAGCTGTTTAATGGAAGTGGTTAGGAGAGTCTGTTCTCACTGAACACCGCAGAGCCATTTAATTAAATTACTATTCAATTCCATGTTTGCATACACAGATGACTGCTGAGACAGAGAGGAAAACTGCAGATTTGCAATGACACTAAGAATTCCTCAGGCAGATAGATAATCCTGAAGCTGCCATAGGAAAAATACTGTTCTCTTCCAGGAACAGGCTTCTGTAATCCTTACATTCTCTGGTCACCAAGGTGACTGCATGTACGGTGAGATTTTACAGATCACCACAGTTCATGGTGAGTAACTCCACTGCACTAAAAGCTCTCTGAGTATCAGCTGCATGCATTGCCAGATAATACTTGTGACACATGCACTGCGGCAGTACATGCTTACATGACCACACCAAGCACCTCAGCCTGTAGCCACAGGGAGAGGGCAGGAGCGAGCCATTCTAGGGGCCTCCCACAACCTCTGGGCTCCCAAGTCTTCTCCTGTATTCTTCCTTCCACTCCACTCACATTTCACATTCACCTTCACTTCCAGAAAACACAAGGATCTAGAAGTGCTTTATAAAGGAAACGTGAAGGTAAACATACCTGTTACCACTGCTGCACATTCCTAAGGTTTTGTTTATGTGCAAACCACCTATTCTGTTGACTAACTTACCATGACCGAGTGCGCTTACTCTTTAAGACTTCAAGTTATTGAACATGCAGGAATGGCTAGTAATGGTAATTAAATTGTCTCTATTTTCTAGGCCAAGTAGTAAACAGAGAGCCATACACAGCCCTCAGACACTACCCAAAGCAAAATACAAGAAACCTCCTTGTATTAAACTTCCAAAAGGTTTTCATACCGATGCTATGATTTGCTTTACACTTAAGTAAGTGCTAGGTATGGGAAGGGGTTTGAAAAAGACCACCCTGATAAGTTCCTATCTTTGCTTTTTTCATTTGGATCCAATAGAGAGCCCACAAGCCTCATGTTTGTACCCCTGCAGTTGCTTGAAGAAGCTGCACAGAGACGTCCCCAATTCCTTCTGTCTGACCATGAACCCTGCATACACCCATGATGGACTCAGTGTTTTCTTTTTAAAATCAGCCTCCTCCTTGCAGCTAATCTTTAAAAACTGCCTCCTCTGCAGCTCTAACTGTAGCATTTAAGTAAGCAGTAACCAAGGACATTATTTTTTTTACAAATGTTTTCTTTATTGCATAAATAGAAGCTTAGATATTTTGCTGTACATACAAAAAGTTGAGATACAATTTAAGTGAATGTTACTCCGGAGGGTTTTATTCCTTCGACACATCCTTCATCTACAGGAAGCCTTCGTTCTCCCAGGAAAGGAATCCAAGCAAGCTGCCAAGTGTCACAGAATCTGCAGGGTGGGGAAACAGCAGTGAGAACAGCAGGCATGATATGCTAGCAGCACATGGACTAAATCTGCCTGCCCACGTGGCAGGCTGCAATCGGAGCTAATCACAGCTCTGCAGTGCTGACACGGGAGAACATTTTTAGGGCAGGAGAAGTCACCCCTTCTCGCAATCCCATTATAAAAAGACGTGCTGACAGTCCGAGAAATGGCAGAATTTAGGAAAGACTTGGCCTCTGGTGGGCCACAATGGGTGACTAAGAGGACTTCAGTCAGATTTGCTTTAATGTCAGTCATTCAACAAGGTCAACGTCACATGCCAGACCACGAGGTCTTGTGGGATGAGCTTATCCTGGTGCAGCAATCCTCCGGGCTACAGCCTTTGCCAGGCAGAACTCCCTGGGGCCGAACACAGAGCACAGTAAAGTCTCCTCATTAAAAGTAGCAGCCATGCTCACTTGCAGGGCAGCTTGCCCTTGTGCCCACCTCTCATTTGTTTAGCACTAAAACTCTATATAACTTACTCTGACTTATTCAGCATAAACTGAAAGAAGTATTCTCACAGCATGTTCCAGTAGCTACCTGGACCAATTTAAAATAAAAATTTAAAATGGTACAAGTCTGCACAGGCACAAATCCTCAATATGATGTAAGCAGGAGCCTGAAAAACACCTCTGTATTTCTTGTTTTCCCTTCGCGAATGAAACACTCTGTTCCCATGGTTATTTTCTGGCCCCATTTCTAGTCACAATTTCCAATTTCTGTTGCAAGAAACAAAAGTGATAGGTTTGAAATCAAAACTAGTAAACATTTCTAAAAACTGAAACCATCTTCATATGTGAGGTGATGACCTCAAAAGGAGAAAGTTAGTTTTCTAGTTTAATAAAGTGCAACATTGTTATAGCGAACTCCCACTGAGTTTACAAAGGGCAGGCAGGAATAGAATTCCCATTTTGCTGCAGAACAGAGAAATGTGAAATGAATTGATACATAAATCACACACCAAAAACTCGGGCAGTATAATCTTAGCACTAGACCACACTCATTTGGCTAACAGACTTGATCCAACAATTGCTTAAGCTTTGAAGATACTGGGAAGGAATTTAGCACATGGCAAATGAAAAACTAAAACTTTACTATACTTTCAATGTTCATTTTGCTTTTTTTTTTTAAATTTATGTAGACGTCTACTTTTTCTCAGTGAAGTATATATGATGGATGTAAAACCTGAAGCAGTTTTATTACCTTGGGAAGCTTCACAGCATGAGATTTGGCCCTTCAAGCTAAACTATCAGCAACTTGTCGTGTATTTAACTAACATGGAATTGGAGATTCTTTTCAATGTGACTTAAGGCCAAGGAACCTTATTACATCATCCAGTCTGGCACGCCTCTCATGCAGTTTTTGCCCAACTTTAATGATTTCTTTTTGTATCAGGACTTTCTGTGCAACTGGTTGGGCATACAAAATTCAAGGAAATTAAGAACAGAAAAGGAATATTGTGCTAAGATCTCCAAAACCCCAAACAGTGGCTGAGAAGTTGTCTAGTACTAACTTCATTTCTTACAAAGAACGGGCATGGTATGGGTGTGCAAATACAGTGAAGCACCACAGGAGACACATACCGAATAACTCAGATAATGGTGATACTTCTAAACACACAGCCCAAATGTACTGAAGCCAAAATATAATGGGATTAATATGGCAATGCCAATATGAAATACCAGGATGTCAAATGAATTATATACCTGAGAGATTCTTTAATCACCCTTCTTCTCTGCTTCTCTTTTCAATTTCTCTTCACGTTCCCTCTTCAATTTTTCTTCAATTTTTTTACTCTGGTACATTTTAACTCCAGCAAATGCTAAGCAAAGAATCAACGTTTTAGCTGCCAAGATGTACATCAGCAATGGGAAATTCTCCAAAGCCTGTAATAAAAAACAATATATTTAAGCGGTTACTGGAACGCTTGGACAATTAAAAATTAATCTACAGGGATGCTATACAGCTTCTTCCAACAATGGCATTATTCAAAGCAATGGTAATGTTCTTCTGTTCAAACTTTTTTTCTGTAGGGAATTTTAAACTAGGCAGATTGTCCAGGGAAAAGGCCAAAATCCAATTAACTTTACTTGAGTTTATATATGAAACTCCCTTGTACAGGTCTTTCTTGCTTTTGTTGTCTTTACTGCGGACGTAATATTGGCACAACCCAGAGTTGAAAAAGGGAAAGAATTGAGTACCTTAGGATGCTTATAAAAGGTGAAGTGCATCTGAACAATTTTGATAGGAGTGATGGAAGCATGCATATTAGCTATCAGATACAATACCTGAATACACTTTTGTCCACTTAGAAATTTTAATCCAAGAGAGTTCCGCAATTTGCCAGGTCTATACTATTAAGTATAGATGAATGCCACAAAAGATATAAAAAGCACATAGCCTACAATGCTTCAGTTTCAGTAGTTTTTAATGTCTGAAGCCAATAAAATTGCACAATACATTTCAATGTTACTAAAGCACACTACTCTAAGTGCATATGGAGCGGAAAATAAAATGCAAACGGTTAACACTGTAAACTAAAATACAATGAGAGCTGCAGAGGCACTCAGTGAGAGATGTCAATTTCAGAATGATACTGAAGGTACACAAGCTTCCCAATACCCTGTTTCAAAGAGCCACTTGGCCAGCAGGATCAGTCTGGCCTTTCAGTGATGCACAGCAGGTTCACAGCTTAAATCCTCCCATAGCAAGTATCCCAGTAGCCCCTTGTAACTTCAGAAGGCCTTCCAGCACCTCATAAAGTTGTTTGCCCATTGTTTAAATACTATATTTAAAAAAGCCTTGTACTCATACTCCATTAGCATGCCCCCTTAAAGTCTGCAAATGAGAGCTCAAGTGGGTTCTTATAGCACTCCTCTATGCAAGCTGCATGTTACCTTTGACATCTGGCCACTTCAACCCAATTCTGCAGAAAACATCATTTTTACTGGCAATATCTTTAAACCACAGCTCTGCTCTGTGGAAAGGCAAAGCCAAGGCCTGTGGTTAGCACTACTTTTATGATAAACAGACTAACTGAACAAGTTATAATTGGTAGTGAACAAGGCTCAAACATTTCTGAGCCTTACATATGTACCCTTATGCTTATGGCCTTGATGCCCTAAAAGATAAAGCAGAGAAACCACACTTTGGTAAGGAGAAGAGCTGAGGAGAGAATAGCCTGAGAAAAGCCTAGAAAGAGGAAAGCCAGAGGAGAGGTTCAATGTACGAGGTCCCAACCTGCAAGCCCTCTGAGCCTGAGGTACAGTGTAGCAGTGAAGCCATCACCTAGACAAGAGAAGCAACTTTAACACAAGACTCACCCAACCACATCTTAAACCCATCTCCTTCAAAGACCAGAAGTTCACTCTTATATGACCATGAAACATCCTTACCTTCAAGTTAAATGCCACCATCTTGGCTGAAGGCTGATAATGCCTGTTCTGAAGCAGGCTGTGTCCAGCACCGATGAGTGTCACACTTCTAAAGGCACAATCCAGGGCAGAAGCATCTTGAAGAAATGGAAATTTAAAAAGAATTAGCCCATCTGTTTCTATTCAGCACGTCTACCACGTACCTCTCTGACAGGCTCATCTGCAGTTCAGTGCCTGGCAGGATATCTGTGCCACGAGGCTCAGCAATGACCAATGCGTGCCTTTTTGGAGCTGAATGACAGGAGCAACATCCATGCAGGGTGCTACTGAAGGACAGGGGTTTGATGGGCCCAGGCAGGTGCCACACTTGCAGAGAGGGGAGGCTGTGCTTTCACTGTACATAGCAGATCTCAGCAGCTGCCCAATCAAAAACAAAGCACTGGCTACTTTCAAAGGCACGTGTGCACTCCAAGCTACCTCACTGATGTCTCAGATGTGGCGGACAAACAGCACCCAGAAGTGCCATCTTGTGGATTTCAAGCCTATCTGCCTTGTTCAAAGCCTAATGGATTCTCCCCATCCCTGGAGGCACTCAAAGCCAGGTTGGATGGGGCCCTGGGCAGCCTGAGCTGGTGGGGGGGCAGCCCTGCCCAGGGCAGGGGTTGGGTAGGCTCTGAGGTCCCTTCTAACCCAAATCTTTTTGAGATTCTATGACACAGCATCATTTGCATCAGTTTTCTCTCATTTGCTAACACATTAATTTTTCTGTACAGCCCATAACACCTAAGTGAACCAACCAGGCAGCAAATCCCTCAGGTGGCCAATATACATTTCAGAACTGAATTTTGGGACTTGGAAATGCTCAGGGGATACTGAAGGCTGCAGCACACAGCTGCAATGCTGCCATTTGGTCTCTGCTGCTGCTCCACCAGTGCTGATGCTGTTTCAGCTGCTGGATTTCAAATTTGGCACTTTCCTGCTTGACTGCCTCGGGGGATCTCCTGTAGGTGTAACAACAGAGTGACTGTTGGAGAGAAGGAAGAAGGCCAACAGTTTAGTCCAAACCTTTACTGGCAGCTGGGCGGAACAAATCACCACCATACCACAACAGCTGTTTGTGGCTTGTTTTCATAATGAAAACAGAGAGTCAAGTAAATGTTCCTGCTGCTCCTGAGCTGTTCAGATGGCTTCTTCACAGCTACCCACGTTTCTCCACCTAAGACATATCCCCTTTCTTCTCCCCTCCCCCCCATCAGCTGCAAAAAGTCTCCACTAGCAGAATCTGCCCTGAAAGCATTGTCATGGGGGGACACCACAGGAGACCCCAAGCAGAGACTGGGAGGGTCTGTCAGAACAGACTGATTCCATGCATGGTGTGCTCTCCTGCTTTCCTGGTGCTCCTGTGCTTCACCCCTTGCCATTGCCTGGGCTGAGAATGGCATGCTTTCCTTTTCCCCCCTTATTCCATGTAAGTTACTTAACTCAACTGACCCACTGAGCAAGGAGTGTAAGTTCAGATCACAAAAAGCAACAGATTGCCTGCAGAGAGAAAGGAGAAGAAAACACCTCCCAGGGTTTGTCATGTCCAGCATGCAGACATCAGTGAGCAAAGGACATATACCCCTGACCCAAGCTACTGCATGTGGCTGAGATGACAGCAGCAGGGCTCTCTTGGCCCAGCACCAGCATGAGAGCTGGCCATCCTTAACTGCTCAGGGAAGCTCTCCTGTCTATCCATAGACTCGTCCTCTCAAAGAAGTCCTGAGAGGCGCATTGGCCAGCTTGGAGATGGCAGCTTGTCCAATACTACACAGCTCTGCACACACTGCAGGATGTTCCAGGATTATATCCCACTGGAACAGATTCAGGAACAGCAGAACCTGTGAGGTCAGCTGCTGCTAGCAAGATCTAACTGTATCTAAGCCATGATGCAGCCAACTCATCATCCAGTATTTACTGTTGATCCTTAGTTGTGTAGCTCCCTTCTCCTGTTGATAAAATGCCAGGTTAGCTGTGAACTAACAAGACAGTAGTGTTTCACCTCTCTCCAAAAAAGGCATTACAACTTCTGATGTTTCCTCCAGAATTTCAGCAAATATTACAACGTAAAGACCCCTGTCAGCTGGGCACAGCCAATATCACCCATCAGAGGTGATTCTTGGTGTACAGTCATGGAATCACAGAATCATTAAGGCTGGAAAAGACCACTAAGATCATCTAGTTTAACTGTCAACCTATCACCACCATGCCCACTAAACCATGTGCTTCTCAGTGAAATCCAAGTTATACAACCCTGGCCTGATGCGGAGGGACTGAACTGCCCAACTGGGGTTTGTATCCTCATCCTGACTTTGGTGGGGGCTTCATCACTATACAGTCCTCATTCTTCTCCTAAATTCTGTGCTTCAGTTGGAAGCAGTTTTGTGACGTGCTGTAAAGAGGCATGAATTCAGCTATTCAAAAACATGCTAGCATCTGGCATATGAAGCTTAAAATGGAGCTTAGAGATTTTTATGTACAGAAAAAGTTCTAGACTCAGCAAATGTGATGTGAGCCCATCTGCGAGGTCTGACTGCAGGGTGAGAATCAGCATATAATGCATATTGCAGCATGCCCTCCTGCAAATGCTTGTTTGCAAGTCAATTACCTAAACATTCAGCACAACGCTTCTTCAATATTTCTGCTCTGCTGAAAGGCAAGCATGAATCTGCCTGAATTTGTATCCACTAGGAGTAGTTGTACTGCAGTCACAAAGCAAATAAGGAAATCCTTCCTTTGTTCTGAACTGTGGTGTTTCAGTCCAAAATGCTTTCTGCGAGATCTGATACTTCTGATGATCTGTCCTTACAGAGACTTCTATGACTAGAACTAAAAGCCGAAGCTGCTGCTCCCTGTATTCCCACACCCAATGTCACCAACCTCCAGCAGTCAAGCACTTCTCTCAATTTCACCTCTAGAGTCTTCTGGTCTCCATTCTGATGCAGACCTTATTGAAGACAGTTGAAATCCCATGACAGAAAAAAAATAATGAGTGGAGCTGCATGGGGCAAGGAGAAAAAAATGGCAGGATTCACTTCACGTCAGAAAAACAATGCTTGTTAGCGCTAATGTTGCCAATTCAGAAGTAAAAAGCTCATGCACTGTACTTTCAAGGTTGTGATATCTTAAAAGCAAGCAGGCAAATAAGCAGCTGAAGTTTCATGTTTGCCTTTTCAGAGGCAGATAAGGCAAAGATAGGAGTTCAAAACACATCCACAGTCAGGCATTGTTCGTTCCTCAAGAAAATGCAAGTTCCCTTAACAAACAGCCCTTCTGCGAGCAGAGTGCGGGCCCCACAGAAGGTCACTGTTACCTACATTCAAGCAAGATCTCATGCTGAGCCACGTGAGAAAAAAGCAGGAGCTCTGCCTGAAGCCCTGTTGGAGACGTCATGATCTATCCATCACACACTCATAAGCTCCTATGCAGGGCAGGGATAAAATGACATCACTCTCACACGTCCGTGGCTTTCTTCACTATCACTACCCTATTTACACTCAGACCTCCATTAAGCAGATCAAACTACTGCAGAAGGGAAAGGGAGGAGAGTCTGCCTGTGCTGCACCTCAGTGCTGGACCAGTGATTCTGTCAGTTCTGAATGCTGTGAGGTCTGCTGAGTCCAGAGCTGGTGGTTAGGGTCACAACACAGCCCTAGAGGCTCGTGTCCTCAGCAGGGCTAATGAGCTCCCAAGGAGGGTTGCAGCAATTCCCTGAGCTAGCTTTTAGATGATGCCAGCCCCAGATCTCTGAACAACGTTGTGCAACACAGACCACCCCATGCAGACTGAAGAGTTGGGCCCCAGTCAGTGGCGAAGCACAGAATTGAATCCAAGTCTCTCAAGCCACTGAATTATAGCTGTACTCCACCACAGCGACCACATCACAGCCCAGCTACTAACGCCATTGTTTTCTTATGCAGCAGCAGAATATTGACTGGGCTGCATACTCCAGAAAACTGCTACCAGGCAACTGGGAACTCACAATCCCACTTAAGCCATCTTGGCTGAGACTCTCAGTCAACCCACTAATAACTCCATCTACTCTACAGAAGGGGACCTGAGACATTTTTCTATTGACTGGGGATTTTGGAGCACTTCTTATCTGCTTTGTGAGATGCTATAAAATTAACCAGCTGGAAGGCCTTGGAAAGCAGCAAGCTACCAAGGTATTTAAATGGAGTGATAGCTGAATATTTCCTGAGCTACAGAAGGAGTTTAATTCCACCTGTCTCTTGCTGCATATTTTTCAGGAAACAAAATGCATACTTCTCACCTGGACAGTCACTGGAAGATCTACCACTGCACTAGACCTGCAGCATCATGTATCACACTTAACACCTCGAAGGTATGATCATGCCTCTTCCTCAAGAAAAAGATGACTACTGGGCAGAGAAAAAACACAGTAATATGGCACAGCCCAAAGGCTACAGAGAAACACAGTTGCAGCATGTGTGAGCCAGAGCTGCTGTGCTAAGATACATCACAAACCACTGCCATAGGATGCAATGGTAACATTAAGTCAGAAAGTCAGACCTTTAGAGCTTTCATGAGACAATAGCCAAAACACCACAGAACTATAGAAAAGCTTGGTTTGGAATAAGCCTACCCACACCAACCCCTGCTGTGGGCAGGGCTGCCCCCCACCAGCTCAGGCTGCCCAGGGCCCCATCCAACCTGGCCTTGAGCACCTCCAGGGATGGGGCACCACAGCTTCTCTGGGCAGCTGTGCCAGCGCCTCACCGCCCTTTGGGGAAAGAACTTCCCCCTGACATCTAACCTGAATCTCCTCTCTTTTAGCTTAAAGCCATTCCTCCTTGTCCTATCACTATCAGACCATGTAAAAAGTCAGTCTCCTTCCTGTTTATAAGCTCCCTTCACTGGAAGGCTGCAATGAGGTCTCCCTGGAGCCTTCTCTTCTCCAGGCTGAACAAGCCCTCAGATTTTCCTTACTGAAGAGATACTCCAGGCCTTTGAGCATCTTTGCACTCACCCTGGACCCTCTCCAACAGCTCTGCATCCTGCTTGTGTAGGAAGACCTGTGCAATCACTCAGTTCATACCAGTGTCGATCATACAGTAATTCCCAAACTAACACCAACTCCAGGCACATGGAAGCATAGATATGTAAGGCTTACCTACCTGCCGAAGCTGCAATGGAAATATTAACAATTCCTTCAGCAGCTCCTCGCACGTTCCAAATGCTGTCAAGCAAAGCACAGAGCAGACGCAAGCATCAGTGGTGGCACCTGGATAAAACCCTGACCGAACCAACACCCTAGAACACAAACAGCACATCGCAGGCTCCTCCTTTGATGGCGACCATCATCACCCCAGCCCCGGCTGCCAAAGCGCTAGGCAGCCCCTGGGGCCGTCCCGCAGCTCGCCTCGCTCCCCAGGGCCAACGCGGGGCCGGGCAGGCCACGGGGCGGGGGCGGCGGCGGCGGGGCAGGCCGTGCTGGGGGGGTACCGTATTACGCCGTAGAGCCCCAGCCGGCCCGCTGCGCACCCCGCCCCGCCGACTCGCCCGCCTCGCAGCCAAGCGGGAGAAGGCGGTGGGGAAAGGCCCAACAGCGCGTCTCCCTACCTCAGCGGGCGGCCATTGTTGTGGGCGGGAAGGCAAGACGAACTACATTTCCCAGCAGCGCCCGGCCCGGCCAGGCTCGGCTCAGCTCGGCTCGGCAGCCCCTTCTCTAGCCCCGTGTCGGGGCTGGGGGTGTTGGTAGCGGGCTTGCGGGGAAACGCCAGAGCTGGGTTGTTGGCTGAGTGCTTCAGATGTGTACACTGTTAGCGAGCTCTTCAGTTTCTCAAGTTCCCCGCGGAAAGCTTTGCCTTCACTTCCTCACAGCTGTTCCCTACCAAGGCTTCAAAGGCAGCACCGCCCCATGTGACGGGGAGCCTCCAGCCACGGGAGGGTTAGGTTGGATATCAGGAAAAACTTTGTTACAGAAAAGCTTTTTAAGCACTGGAATAGATTCCCCAGGGATGGTTGAGTCACCATCCCTGGATGTGTTTAAAAACCATTTGGATGTGGTGCTCAGGGACATGATGTAGCGGAGTGTTGTTAGAGTTAGGGTAGTATGATTAGAATCATGGTTGGACTGATGATCTTTAAGGTCTTTTCCAACCTGAGTGATTCTGTGATTCTTTTCTGTGATTCTAAGACAGTGTGTTAGGTGGCCTGTCTCTTTTCACCCAAACTAAGGCAACTTTTGGGCTTGCCTGGGCTGCACTGAGTATGGAGTTTTCTTGAGCCGCATATGTATTATCTAGGCTGCTCCAAAAGTAGTGCCTCCTATTTATTTCCAGGGAAACTACAACAGGTACAAAGAGCACAATAACACTGTTTGATAGACTGTCAGCTACAAAACACTGTTATAGACACCCCTATTAACTGTGCTTTTTCAGCAGCAATGAACAAGAGCTTGCGTGCTGCTGTAGTCAAAACCCGTACCAGAACTGCCATCATGATGGCATGGACCGGGGAGTGGCTGGGTTGGGCCACAGGTTGGACATGACCTAAGGCATTGCCCACATGTCCCAAAGACAGAGTCGACTCAGGTGCTCATTCCCATTTCAGTGTCACAGCTGCCCACATGCAGCCAGAATCAGAGCACAGCCAGCAATGGAAGCTGCCCATCGCTTTTGGTGGGGAGCAGAGCCCGAGCAGGTGCAGCTGTTCATGATGTTGGCACATCTGGTAAGGTTCACTTTGGCTGTCCCTGCTGCCATACCCTGTCAAAAGATGCTCTTTCCCCAGCTGAAGCACAGCTGTAGCATGTGGCCCAGATGGCCACCAGAGTCCCTCCAGCTGCTCAGTGGGCACATTAACTGTGCCCTTACAGCCTGTGGGCATCACGGGTTAGTGGTAAGGAATGTCCTTCCACCTGGAGGGGAGCAGAGCCATAGCATGAGCATGTTCTGGAGCACAACAACATCTGTTGTGCCATACCATAAAATCAGGCTCCAAAACAAGACCAAGCTTCCAAGAAAAATAAGCTCTTTTTTTCCATCATTTCTTCTTGCCCACACAATCGACAGCCAGAATGAGAACTTCAAGTTTCAGCAGATTAAGTCTGGTAATATGAATAGAAGCTAAACCTAGAGCACAAAGAAATACATTTTAATACTAGAAGTAGTACTGGCTTTGCTTCTAATTATTCCCCAACAGCCAGCATCATGGTACTTTAGCAGCACAAGAGAAGATAAACCATTTTTAGAACCCGTTTTCTGACTGATGCACACCACTACCCAACATGAGAAACCTTTAGAAAGATTAGCAATGGAACAGCTTTGATAGCAGGTCACAGAAACACCTGCTCTGAAAGACACATAGCAAGACATGCTGGTTTGCACTAGACCTTGGCTGATAGGAAAGCAAGAAATCCCTATCACCCAGCTTGCATTGCAGATAGACAGATTAATCTGGAGAACCAAGGAACAGCAGAAGAGACAGCTATGGACTTCAAGAAAGACACTGACTCTCTAGAAGTTGCTCTGGACAACCAGGACACTCTTAGATGAGACTGCTAGTCTGCTATGCTTTTATGATAAAACAGAAGGCCATGAATCATTCTTTGCAGCCAATGAATAATGAAATTGAAATGGAAGCCAGGTCATTAAAATAACAGTTTGGCTTGACTTGAACATGTGTAGATATAGGCTAGTCCTGTGATTCATACCATAACACATTGTTCAGTCAGTAGATAGAGGGTCTGGTATTTCATTGTACAGTTTCCTGTTATTTTAAGATGGGCTTATGTCATATAGTTTGGATCTGAATCAGCACTTTTAAGCATCTGAAAACTCCAACTGTTTGTCTGAGGTTTACTCTTCAGTAATCCAGATCTGCTTCTAGATTTCAAAAAATTGCTAAAAAATTCAAATTATTCTCTCCATGACTTTATTTTCTTGAAGAGCAGAATATCAAAGCAGAGCAAAGTCATGCATTTTTCTTAGGTGTTACCCAAAGCAGCTGTGTCAGAGTTCTCAGAGGAAACAGTGATGTTGATTTCTTCAGCAGCCCATTCTAGCTCAACTGTGTAAATCTAGTGAACAATTTCACAGCTATTTATAATTCCAGTGAGTTCCCTAAATGTGACTTAATGATTTCCTCTTTGCTGATGTTTCTGAAATGTCAGGGTGATCCGGGGCTTGTTTTGTCCCTTGCACCGAAGTTTTCATGGACCACACACTTGAGATCTTCTCGATTCAGAACCTGGCTTTTATACTTCTCACCCCAGTCCTCCACGATGTACTGATGGTAAGGGTCTTTGGAGTGTTCTCGCCTCTTGGATTTCACAGTACTCACCAAAATCGCCACAATAATGAAGGAGAACATTCCAATCATCACCATCAAATAAAGGATAACATAGTCAAAGTTTTCAGCATCAACCTTGGCTTGCAGTTCATTTGCCGCTTCTGTCATGTTTTTCCTCCAGCCATTCATGTAAGTGAGAAAAGTTTCCTTGAAAATATCTTCCACTGCCCACGTGAAGTTTCGTATTTCAGCCATCCTTGCAAGTTACAGCTACTAAAGACAACATAATACTTATTTTAATCAAATATCTACACTATAACAATCACATTGGTTTGTTTTGTATGCATTATGAGGATTAAATAATAATACCTACTAGTGAAAGTGTCATACTGATTTTAGACCAGCTGAGAATCCCTATATCAGAGTGCTTCAACATGTTTAGAGACCCGAGGAGGTCCTACTCCTTACTCAGCTCATTTTCAGTCTGTGGAAGCCAAGTATGCCTCAGCGAAGTTCAGTGAGTGTGGGCCTACCTGACCCATATCACAGACATCCAGGCACACTGATTTTCCTCTTGAGATAAAGATTAAAGAAAATGTTCTTCACCCAGGAAGGGGTGCTATACATATTGGTCTACCTTCCTTTGCTTCTTGGAATAGCCTTGTGATTTCAGCATGCACAGAACAGGCATGCACACACAGGGGGACATGGGTATGCATGCATGTAGATCTCTGTACAATTATATATACATGCTCAAACATATGGGATAAAGGCAGTCTAATGAAAGCAAGCAAGCTATAAGAAAACAGAAACTCAAACTCTCCTGAAACTTCTTTTTTGTGCAAAATCTCTATGCTTTTCATAGAATCATAGAATCATGGGATCACTCAGGTTGGAAAAGACCTTAAAGATCACTGAGTCCAACCACGACCTAACCATACTACCCTAAATCTAACAACCCTCCTTTCATTCAGAACAACAACAACTACAAATCTGTTTTTTTAATAGAAAATAAAGACTTAAGCAACAGAAACGTACCTTTCCTGTCTCCTTCAGTAATGAGATTCCCAGTAACAATCAGGATTTTGAAACTCCACCAGATAATACTGCAATACTCTTGAAAGAAGAGAGCTATCTTACGCTTCAAGTAGCCTCCAGCCTGCACAAGGTTTTGAGCACTTGCCTGTTAATTAAGTGCTTTTTACTGCACGCTTTCTGTTTATATTAAGGTAAATGCTAAATCTAATCTCACCTGGAAAGTCAAACATCGGCTGACAGCTTACATCAGTCATCCTGTCCAATGCCGAGCGCTATAATTTATTCTTATTACTACAATTTCATATATTGTAAAAGAACACTGTAGCGCTTTCTAAGGATGAACATCTCTAGCGGTTTATGGTTTGGTATTTTTTGACCTAGAGAGAAAAAAAATAAGGATGTGCTCTACAAAATAATGAATAATTCCCTTGGTTGATGGGCACAAGGGACTGAGCACTGAGCAGGTACTGTAGAAGGTCTTCCATGCTGTTTGCACCCAAAAGGAAGAAGAATTTTGTTCTCCTTTACTTCTACTAGGTCACCCATATGGGTCTTTTATATCTTTCTCTGTTCTTTTTCTCCTTGCTTTGTTTCACATTTCCTCCATCCTTTGCCATAAACAAAGAACATAACCTTTCTCTCCCTTTCTCCTAGATTCCTCCTGTTGTTTGGTTTTCCATTCTTTCACCAGGACTGTGGTTGTCTGAGACCACGAAGCCTATACTGCAAGAAGCGGGTCTGCAAACACAGCCAGGATCAGCCTCCCTGAACTCTGCTGCTTGTGAACTCTGCTGTTTGTGTACATCATCCGTGTTCTGGAGCAGGAAAAAAAAAAACTATATTAAAAAAGAGAGAGAGAAGAATTAACTAATGTTGTTATTTCTCAGCAAATAGCACGGGATGACATCTAACTGAAAAGCACTGACTCACACCTTAGAAATAGCAACATGCTTAGTGAAGTGAGACAACTTCATCTCTAGTCAGGAGTGGTTCCTGGCTCTGGTGGCAATATTCAGTGGAGGGGGATTAGGGTGGAGATGAAGACGTTCACAAAGTGTCCCACAAGCACAAGGGACAGACCCTTTTGTAAAATATATCTGCATTTTACAGGTAGATATGCCTAAGCAGTTTGCAGAGAAAACAGTTTCACAAGTAGCTCTGCTTTGAGGCAGATAAAGCAAACATGGACAATCACGGAATCAACAGAACACATGAGAAAAAGGGAGATACGCTCTTGGTACTGGGACGTGTTAATCCCTGAGGAAGTCCTGCTAGTGCCGTGCTGCTGACATTGTCATGTTTACTGCTATCATTTCTTTTGGATGATTTTCTGTATATAAACACCTCCCAGCATCAAGGCGAGCTGTTGGCAATGTCTCCTCTCTGATCTCCCACTTCTCTCTGGAAGTTTCCCACATGCCCTCTGCTGGGGCCCTTGAAGTCAAGGTAGCTGGCAAGCTGGTTCTGTTTGCTTTGGTGAAATCTGAGCGCCAGACAGACTGCTGCAAGTCCAGCTTCCTGCTTTACTTAGCCAGGGATGTGCCCTGCTTGGCCCTGGCTGTTTGAAGGCGATTGGAGCCAACAGCATGCTGTTAGAGGAGCTCCCAAATGCTATTAGAGGAGCTGCCAAATGCAGGGCCATGAACTGGGCTACATGAATGCAAGAGGAGCCACAGCCCTGGAGGTTAGGCTGATCTAGGGAACTGCAACTCTGGGCTGCCAATAGACGGCTCTTCAACCAGCCTCTTCTGATGTCTGTTCCTGGCCAGTCCCATTTGGCCAATGCTTGCAGGTGCATACTTGCACAAACACACAGGTATACATACATATACAAAAGTTGTGTACGCTGTCAAGCAGACATTAACTGCCTACTCTGTTCTTAACTGAGAAGAGAACTTAACCGAATGAGAACTAAGATTAACACAAGATTAGGAGGCAGACTCAGTAGCATCTGTTGTGACAGGACAAAGGGAAACAGTTCCAAACTAAAACAGTGGACATTTAGACTGGATATAAGGAATTTTTTACAATAAGGGTAGTGAGGCACTGGAACAGGCTGTCCAGAAAGGCGGTGAATGTCCCGTCCTTGGAGACGCTCAAGGTCAGGCTGGATGGGGAACTGAGCACCTGATGGAGCTCTGGGTGCTCCTGATGGCCTTTAGGGGTCCCTTCCAACTCAAGCAATTCTGTGGTTCAGTGATTATTAACAAGAATCTTTGTTCCACAAGCTTGAACACTTCCCTTCAAAGAAGTTTACTGAATCACCTTCTGGATAATTCTCCACCACCTGTTTCTGGATAAATCTCCATCATTCTTTGAAGCAGAGCATCAAACCTCACACTTTAGTTGTAATCAGCAGCTAACATACTTAAATGCTGATTTAGATACATTTATACACCAATTTTGCTGTTTCCTTCTCTTCCCTTGCCTCGCCTTGCCTCACCTTGCAATTAACTATATATAATGCATGAATTGTAAGAGTACCTGTATAGGCTTAATTCTTAGAAACAAAAGAATACAGTTGTTAAGCATCATTACTGAAGAGATATAAGTATCCTCTAATACCTACCTATGTAATTTTCCTTCAGTATTTCTTCTGGCTAAATCATAATATTGTGTTAGTCACTGTTCTCAGACCTTAAACTTTTGTATACACAGCCTTAACCCACAATCTTTTCAGCCTTTAGCTACTGATACGCTGTATAGTTAACCACTGATACTTAAAGTGCTGAAAGCATTTCATTACTTTCCCCACTGCTTCAAAACTTTGTACCTTCCTCCTAAATTTCTCCGTTACTTATACACTAGCTTAACAGAACACTTGTGAAATCAGCAGTTCTATCCCTAGATCTGTGTGTTTCTTTTCAAATTGTTCTTCAGAAGATCACACAGTTAAACAAAAAGACCTACCAAGGCCATTATGTTATTATAGTTGTGACTAAAGACTGTGACTGCCAAAGCTTTTTCTCTTAAAATTACTCAGGATTACATTTATTACTTACATTTGAACTATTTATTTACATTGATTTTCCTTTATAATCTATTCTTTTAATACATATTGGGATGTTTTCCAGCTCTTATGGCTTCTCATGACACTGCTGGCAATTAAAGATCCTGCCTCTTTACCTTATCTCTTGTTTTGCACCTGTCTTCTAGACCTTTTACCTGTTCCTCCCATTCTTGTGATGAGCCTCTGCAGAGGGCCAGTACGTGCTAGCTACCACCTTTCCAGCACTTCCATCTTCTGCTTCTGTTTGCCATTCCAGTAAGCAACTCACTTAATGTTCTTTCTGCACTAACCCAAAGTGTAGTGGATGCTGTTTTTTTTTTCTCAGCATAAGGGAGTTCTGGTTTGTACATCTTTTCCACCAAAGAGCATGGTTTTCAGCACAACTAGTAGCTTTGATATCTTGCTCTGTATAGGTTGGATTTTCTTTTGAAGTGAGGTAGTCATGTTTCAATTGTTTATTTCTTATGTAACTGTTCTTCCATCTTTCAGGGAGTGATGTTTACAGTTTTCAGACTTAGCCTATTTTCTTGGGCCTTTTCTTTTTGCTGCAGGGCAAATACATTTTCTGATTCAACGATTGTGATATTCTGCTTTTCTGTGAAACCTTGAGTCTTAGTTGTGTGTCATACCTATTATAAGACTTTGAGTATACTTTTGAATAAGTATTAACTTCCTTCATTCACACAGGATTTCTGTTCGTGCAGTTCAGCAGAGAAGCAGCCTTTTTGTTGAAACGCCTTGGTCAGGTTCAAGGTAGTTTACAAGGAGGCCATATGTTCAAGCCCCAGCCATGGCAAAGTTTAAGGGTAAAGGGCAAAGTTAAATAGAAGCAGAGGAGTTGTATGTCTTAGAGCTGGAAGTTAAAACCCTTGGAGAGATGGGAGCTTGCATGTGCTGGCCTCCATCAGAGGCTTCTGGGCAGTCTGATATGGTGGGTGAGAGCTCTGCCCACAGCAAAGGGTTTGGAACTGGATTATCTTTAAGGTCCCTTCCAATCCAAGCCATTCTATGTTTCTATGATTCTAAAAGTTATCACAGAATCGCAGAATGGCAGAGGCTGAAAAGGGACATCTGGGTACATTTAAGAGCCCATTATTTAAAGAGGATCATTGGCTATTGCTTTGGTCTTTTGATACCCCCAAAATGATTATAGCTTGTGAAAATTACCTCTAAATATTATAATAACTGTATAATGATCACTCCCTCTTCACATCAGAGATCCACATCAGGGTGCACTTTTCTTAATGCCTTGTATAGAAAGAGTGAAAGTAGTACAGATAGTGGAATGGCCCATCTGGAATGGTCCTGTGTGACTAAAGAAAAATATATTCAGCAAACTAACATTTTTGAGTCATAACTAAAGTGAGAGGAAAAATATTCAAAAAGAAAGTGGATTTTAAACAAATTTTGTTATGCAGCACAAGCATAAGCAAGGCTGTGAGGAAAACCCATTGTGTCTCTGAGATAGGAACGTATGTCATCGGGATGCATTCAGTATTGAGGGACTCAAGCTTAATCAGCTTCTCCAACCCTGAAAGCTTAAAAGAAAACAATTGGGAAGAATAAGCCAAGGCACTGTGTCTAGTGCTAGGACTGCACAGTTGCTGATAGACAGGCACCTTCCACCCTGCATGGTACTGCATTGCTTCCCCCAGTCAAAACTGCAGGGGTGGAAAAATTATGGTCAGGAAGAGATTGCAATCATGCAGTTTTGTTGCTATGGTTTATAGTCTCTATGCTCTGAGGGAAGCGTAGTCCAACATGCTGCAGGGCAGCTGCTAAATTCAGAGGGC